CCCAGAGTCCAAAGGCATCTACTCTGGGCTCCCTTCCCCTATCCTCATGTGCCTTTGGGAAGAAGGTGCTGGAACTGAAATGGACCTTCTCTGTAAGAATGACCACTGTCCCATTGGCTTCAGAGCATCCTGTATCCCAGGAAATCCTTCCTCATCTTTCCCCCATCCTGGGCAAAAACCCAACTGACTGGTCACCTCTCTCTGTGAGGAAGGCAAGCAGGAGAATACCAGTGGTAACATTGATAGGCAGTGGTCACTAAGTGCTTATGATGTCCAGGCGTTGTCTGTAAACTGCACACATAGACAACTTTCTGAAGGAGGAGATGTCTCCCTTTACAGGCAAGAAGACTGAGTCACAAAATCTAGTCACTCAAGGTCACATAGGATGTGGTCTAAATCCTGGCTTGGGAACTAAGGAAGCACAAAGTCTCCTGACCCTGGTTCCCTTATCCCCCAAGATGGATGGCTCACCGCCCCCCCCCCCCCCCCCCCCAGCCCCTGCTTTAGCTGTGTCCACATCCTCCTAGTTAGGGCTCCTTTGCCTCTCTAACTCCTGGCTTTTCTTCCATTTGAGGTTCTCCCTAGAGGCCTAGGCTGGTAGTTTTATAAGTGTGGCCTCACTCAGGCCCCTAGGGGACTTCCTGCCGATCATCTGTCAGGTCTTTAGGGCCAGGGAAGACATGTCTCATTTCATTTTGAGTGATGGTTTAGGGAAAGGCTCCATTGTCCCCTGGTCTCACTTTCACTGGCAGCAGGTCACACATACTAGCACTCCTCTGTATCTTGGTGCCTGTTCCAGCCATGGTCAGTCTTGGGCTGCCAAGGATAGTCCCAATATAAATCCTTTCCTTTTGTGTCCCCCTCGGGCAGTCCTGGGCCTTACTTTGTCCTTCCCCCCTCAAGCGGAGGCCCCAATTGTCCTCTTCCTACTTCAGCATCCCTTTGGAGGGCAAGAACCAGGTAAGGCAGTATGATGTCATCCCCATCCTGGTTGATCTTCTGAAAGATGAAGAGCAGGAGGTTCAGGCTAATGCTGCTGGAGCCCTGATGTATGCCACAGTGACCACTGAAGGTAAGCTGGGGGTGGCCACCCCAGGATACCTGAAGCTGGGTGGGTCCGAGCAGGCGGGCAAAGAGCCTCCTAGCATGCCAGCAGTTGTAGTGAGTTTTCCAAAACGTGTCCTTCTGCTCAGGGGCCTAGTATTGCCCCCTCACCCTCAACCCTTCGTGCTCCATCAAAATCTTCTTGGCCTGTCATGGAAGTCCTTTTGAAATTTGGGTCAAAGCTCAGCCCTTTCTCTTCTTCCTGGGCACAGGCTGCCTGTGGCTTCTCACCAGTCATTTGCATTAGAGCCTCTATCACTTCACACTGGGCCTGGAATCCCACCTCTGATCCAGGCCCCCTGTGAGCCATGAAGTGATTCTGGGATTGATTAATTTGTAATCTATGACTCTGTTATCCTCAGGTCTAAGCAAACCCTGCTCTTCACTCTATGTTTCTTGATCATGATTATTTTTCTCAAGTTGGAGAGGGGAAAAATAAGAGTACAGAATTCTCTTTTCTCAGGTCCCCAGCTTAGGACTCCCAGTGAGTCAGGACAGGCTTTCATGTTGTCACCAGTCTTGGGCTGAGGGAATAGACCTTGGCTGGTCTCCACACCTGAATCTCTAGGGTGTATAGTGTGCTTCTTCCAACCCTTAGATCTTCTGAAAACTGTCTGATGTTCCCCAATGGTTTATACTCACCTGCACCGGCCCTGTGGTGTGAACTTCTATTTTGTTCTGTGGAGGACTCTGCATATGATTGCAGACTCTCTGCACCCATATTGATTATGGATTCATAATTAATATGCCACAAAGCCTCTCAATGACAAATTCTCCCAGAAATTCCATACTAGACTAGAATGGTAGAACTTTAGATGGTCAGAGGAGCAGGGGTTGAGGCCTTCTCAGGGTCCACAGCCCACCTTTCCATTGTGTAGTCAGGATGCTGACAGTACTGTGGAGGCAGGGGTGCATTCATCTTGGGGTACCTCTGTGCTCAGGCTTCCTATGGGAACACTTGCAGGGCCAGGGAGCCCATGGGGATTCAGGCAATAGCCAGAGACACAGAGCCCAGAACCAAGGGATGTGAAACCACCTACTCCCCAGCAGGTACTCCAGCCGAGGGTCTCTAAGCCAGCACAGGCCAAGGCCTCAGCTACACAATGGGAACGCAGTGGTAGGAGAGGTAGAATGCAGAGCAACATGGAGAAGTGCAGCATTTGGTGGGGCATATGATGGGGCCAAGCCTCCTCTGGGAAGGATTTGGGGACTGACCCAGAGGATAGGGTAATCAGGAGGCTAGAGTTGAGAGGCCTTCACAGAAAAGGGGAGAGTACACTAACAGCAGTAATTGGTAGTGAAGGGTCAAGGAGAGCATCTCATACACAGTAATGTCTGTTAGTGCACAAGGGCAAGAACCATATGGCTGGGTTTTTGTTGTTGTTTTTTTCTGTGTTGAGGATTGAACCTAAGGCCTCGTATATGCCAGGCAAACACTCTGAGTACAGAGCTAGACCTCTTGCCCCACTGTGTGTGTTTTTGTGCCAGGTGCAGAATAGTTGTTCAAGAAATATTTGCCACATAAACAAATGATTGGCATTCCATTTTAAAAAGGCCAGCTCATGTTGCTTTGTGAGGACTAATTGCAGGTCAAGAATGAGAGGCATGTAATGAAGCCAGTTAGGGGTCTGGAAGGGCAGGGGATCAGGGGCCAGGCCTAATCCCCAGGCTGGACTCAGCAGAAGAGTACAAGAGAGATGGGGTGAGAGAAGGGTGGGTACTTCCTTTGAGACTACACATGCAGGAAGGGAGCAGGAAGAAGGGCCCTCTCAAAGTAGCTGGTTAAGAAACCTGATGTTGGTGACCTGCAGGGAAATATGCGGCCCTGGATGCAGATGCCATAGACCCTCTCCTGCAGCTGCTGTCTTCACCCTTGACCAGGGTATGCCTGAATGCCACCAAGGCCCTCACCATGCTGGCTGAGGCCCCTGAGGGCCGCAAGCGCCTGCAGCCCCAAGTGCCTGCCTTCCGGATTCTAGAGTCAGATGGCAACCAGACCATACAGCGGGCAGCCTGGATCGCCATCAAAGTGATTGAGTGGAAACCCTGAGACTCTTATCAAGTAAAACCTGATAAGCCACTTCCATACCCGAATAAATAGGCTGAATCTCTTTATCTTGTGTCCCAATGGTATTTTATATTCCTGGAACATGGTCACATCTTTCTTTCCAGTCAAAGGGGAAACTCCATGCCCAGAAGGACAAGGTCCTGGGCAGCACAGACCCCGAGTCCCCTCAGAAGTTGGAGTGCAGGGCTGAGCCCTCCAGGAACAAGAGTTGGGGCAGGGTGATGGTCGGAAGTTGGAAGGAACATAGGTGGACGAGGCATCAGCCAAGCTTGGGATGCTTGAGTCACCAGGCCTGTGGGGTGCAGCTGGGAGTGGCCCTGTGAGCACTCTCACCAATACCCTGGTTCAGCCACTTTTTCTGCCTTTCCACACTGGGGGGCAGGAAGGAAGGTGGAAAGTATGGCCTGATGTGGACTTTCCCTAGGGGAGGGTGAGTCAGTCATAAGAGGACCCTTTAGGACTGAACACTTAGGATGGTAATGATTTCCTCATTAAGATCGTCCCCTCAAACAGCTGCATTCCTCTCCAAACCAGGGAGGTCACTGGAGTATGCCACCCTTGGGCCATCCTAAAGCCTACTGTGCCATCTCCCCTCCCCTTGGGCCTGTCAGCTTCAGGGTAGCCTTCCATGAGCCTGCCTCCCACCCACCTCTACCTGTGATACTACTTCCTTGGGGAGGCATGGGAATGAGGTTGGGAGAGCCCCTTTATCTCCAAGCCAGCCCTGCCTGGTCTAACCAAGTGAGAGTTCCTCTAGTTTTGGGGGAGAAGCAATGGTTCTGACCCCTTCTAGAGGAACAAAGGAGGCAGAGCTCAGCTTCCAGGCTGGGCCCTTTCTTTGGGGGCTGAACTGGAGCCTTTATCTTTACCCAAGGAACTTTTTTTTCTTTTGCCCCCCATTAAGTTTAATGGTACATCTTAGGTATACAATACAGTTACATTCATCATTGGGATCTTGTACCTTTACATGATGTATCTTGGTTCTTATTTTTTCCCCATTCCCTGTCCTTTCTCTCCAAGGAACTTTTGAGGCCCCCTCTTCACTGACCAGGAATTGATACTGGGAAGAGTTCTTAGAATAAATATTATTAGCAAAATCAGAGTCCCAAGTGAGTTTCTTCCTGTAGTCCTTTCAGTGAGCTCCAGGGACCCTCAGGTTTCTCAGAAGAAACACAGAAAAGTTTCTGTCCTTGGAATTAAAGCATTAGCCCAAGTAGGCCCCCTTGGTCTGAAAGGGACTAGGTGCTGGGCCCATGTGGAGTTTACTCCTTCAGGAAAGCAGGTACTCCAGGGGCTCCATGCCTCACATCCCAACCCTGTTTCAAGCCATAGCATGCTGGCTATACTCCTGCCACAGGCTTCAACCAAGGTCAGACATGTCTACCACCAAAACCCTGTGTTCTTGGTCTTGGGTGTGAAACCTTCTTTTGCTACATGACCAGTGGTGCTGATGGTTCTCTCTTTTAGGCCCTCGGTTCTCTCATTTTTCTTTCTCATCTGCCTGGCTGTGGGCCTTGCCTACCACCTTCCTACCTGAGTCACCTTTCTACCTGGGCCTACTCTCTGCTCTTTCCCCCAAATCTGGGACTCTAGTCCCAGTCTCTCTTCTGAGTTCTGGTCCCTTATGTCCAACTGAACATCTACCCTTATAGGTCTCCAGGCAGGAATAACAGTCCTTTACTACCCTGATACCAAAACCAAAGAAATGAAGAAAACTACAGACCAGTTTTCCTTATGACATAAAAACTCAACAAAAGACGAGGAACCCAAATCCAGTATCATACAAAAAGCTTTATATACCAGAACCAACTGGGATTTAAATGTCTGAGGAATATAAGATTGCCTTATATGAAAATTAATGTATATAAATAGAAGAAGGGACAAAAATCAGAACAAGAATTCCACAAAATCCATGGCCCTGCAGCTGGTGGCATTTGATACATCACACCGAAGGAGCATTATCATTGGTATAAGTGTTGGCCTCATATTCTTGGGTGTCCCAGGAGGAAACACGTCATCTCTTTCCTGATGAGGGTCTGGGAAAGGCAACATCCTTGGTGCCCTCCAGACACTCCAGGCTTTAGCTGCTTCAGGCAAAGTAAATGTGGCCAAAGACCACAAGTGCGATCAAGATGGTCGCACTGGCACTGATCAGCCTCCTCCAGCAGGACTTTTCTGACTTATCACCCCTGTCTGTATTTTCTGTCTTCTCCTTGGTTGCCTTCATATTCCTGGATAGGTCTCCTTGAGCCAGGATGTCTGCACTTTCTGATGGGTCACCTTGCTCCATATTTTTCTCCCTTACTTCTATCCTTCTGGATGCCTCTCCAGGGGCCAGGGCCTCAGCAACTTCCAAAGAATCACTATGTTTCCTTTTCTCAGTTGCCTCCATCTCCTCAGTTGTATTTATCTCCTTGGAGACCTTTCCAGAGGCCACCTTGGGGTTCAGCTGTGGCTCCAGGCCAAAAAACAGTTGGAAGGCCTCCCAGAAGTAGCTCTGGGAATCCCGGAACATAGCTAGAACAGAGGGAACAGGCAAAGGTAAGAGGGCATGTAAGCCATGATACAGGAGGGAGGTCCTTGTAGAGACTCACTTCTCAGAATTGAGTTCAGTGTGAAGTCCAACAGACCCACTCATAATACGAAAAAACAGTCTTCAGCCTGGGCATAGAATGCCTACAGCCATATTCAGAGAGATGACTTGAAACAGAGGATAGGATGAAAGACCTGGGATGTGTTGTGGGGGTGGAGTGTGGCTGCAGAGCTCTCAGCTGTGCCCAGATCCCTTTATTGGGCAGCTGAGTGTCAAGGGAGCCCTGCTTCTTCATGTATCTCACATTGCACTGCAATAACATCCTTTCCTGTCTCTGTAGGTCTAGGTCAGTATTGGATGCTCCTCTGAGTGCTCTCCCTCTAAGTACTATTCTTTGGAGGGAGGAGGAAGCCCCAAAAGTCCTGGAAATAGATACTGCTCTCTTTCACCAAGCAGCTGTCCATCTCTGTGCTTGGCCCCATAGGACACTTGGAGGCACTTTCTAGCGTTGTGTGGAGTGGGAGAGGCAGTTTAGGAATTACAGAAAAGCTGACACACATTTTTCTAGGCCAAACTAGTGGAAAAACCTATGTGTGGAGCTTGAGTATTACTCCAGTGTCTGTGCTGCGGAGGCTGGCCTGCCCCCTTGGCGCCTGTGCTGGCTCGGGTCAGCACCACGGTCAGCTCCAGCACACCAGCTTGGGCCCAGCCACTGTCTGGAATGTGACCTCTGAGTCACTCCTGGGAACGGATAGCTCCTGGATGGCAAGATGACCCTGTTTCATTCTGAGTGGACTTCCAGCAGTGTGACTAATGTTTTCTGTCTCATCTAGTTGGACAACCTAAACTCTCCTAAGCTCCTGTCCTTGTAGCTGAGGCTTGGAGGACCCATCAGCCCAAAGGCATAACTGTCACCCAAATCAGCCAGGGCTGTATGATAGGCTGTTGGCTGGCTCAGGGATGAGAGCCCAGACTTTGGAATGAGACTCCCAGTGTTCAAATCCCAGCTCTACCACTGACTGGTTTTCTGTGGGACAGATAGTTACCTGATTGTTAAATGCCTTAGTTTCCCCAGCTCTAAAATGGGGCTAGTAGCTATACCTATCACATGTAATTTTGGCAGCACCTGGCACATTGTGGGCACTCAGGGAGCAAATTTACTTCTCTATAGAAGAGAAAAGCCATCAGAGGGAGACTGGATTCCGGTATCCTCCAGAAGCATAGGGTCTTGTGCCCAGGAGCGGCCATTCACTACCCCACAGAACACAGGGCCCTCCCTAAGCAGATGCCCATCTCCTGCAGGTGTCAGGAAAGACCCCAGGCCCCCTCTGGGTTCTGAACTCCCCTGGCAGGAGTGGAAATGGGAAAACTGTCTTCTCTGCAGCCAGGCCCTTGCGCTTCCTCTCCCTCCCTCCCTCCTCTTCACCACTCTGTGCCCCAGACTCAGGACTAATCTCATTATGTCCTTTATCCCTGATTTTGTCAGGTGCTGCAGGAAGCTCAGGTCATCTCACCTGCTATGGCCTGGAATGCTCCTTTTCTGACCCTATTTGCCGAAATTCTTTCTCTGACACTCGGGAACCCTAGGGCCTCAGCCTGTCCCAGGGACACTCTCTCCTTTTTTACTCGGACTGAAACGTAATTCCCACCCAGATCTGCTTCCAGGGTGCCCTCCTTCCCTGCCCCTGTACTCCCACTGGAGTGGGCCATTTCTTACTCCCTTTCCAAGGAGCCTCTGGTTTTGAATCCCTGCATTGCAATCCACTCCTCTCACTGAGCTACACACCACCAGCTTGTTGTGCTGGAGGCACAACATGGTCTATGTGTGGCTAAAGCCAAGAGGCCAGTTCTTAGGCCGAGTCTTTCTTCATGCATCAGCGTTTGCCTTAATGGATCACCCTGCCCTTTGAAATGCTGCTAGGACACCAACACTTCTGATTTTCTGTTCCCTTACTGGCTCCTCATCACCTAGGTACCCCCCAATTCAAGCCTGATTCTTCTCTTCTCTCTTCCCTCCACCTCCAGTGGCGACTCACCCAGTGCATCTGCTGCCCTCTCCCACATCCCTCCTGGAGCCCAGGCTGCTCACCATGGCCTCACAATTTCAACATGCCCTAACCACTCCCGGGAGGCATCTTAGGGAAAATGGGAGCCTTTGCTTTTGCCTTGAAACATTTCTGAGGGTGAGGATAATGAGGGAGAGGGGTGTAGGGCATCAGCACAGGCCACCAGTCACTCAAGAGCATGCCACACAGGGACAATCCCCAGGGATGGATCTTCCTTCTCACCTGGTGTGGCTGGGAATCTGGGGAGTCTCCTCCATGTTATGCCCCTGTCCAGATCTAACCTCTCCTCTAGGCTCTTTCGTAAGCTCCAGCAAAGCCTGTAGAGCTATGATGGGGGAAGCATAGACAGATTAGGGGCATGTTACCATCGGGCCCAGTTATGTAGCCATATAGTAATGTTAGACCCAGCGAGAAAGAACCAACCAGAGACCGATATTAAATCCACACAGGAGTTTATTACTGGCCGGGACCTGAGCAGAGCATCAAATTTGAGCCCCGACTCGGGGGAGACAAACATGTTTTTTACACCTTTGAGGCCAACAGTTTTTAGGCTCCCCTATGGGATAGAACTAGCAAAGCAAGAGAAAGGTACAGAAGTGGAACATCCTGTTGTTAGAATATTTGTAAAACAATAGTTGATGAATTGTTATTTTTAAAGAGACTTTCTAAGGGGAGGAGGTTTCTAAGCTTCCTCCTTCTGAGTTCATCTAAAGGGAAGGCAGGTGGGTCAAGCAGAAATATGGAGTCTGTCTTGCTAACTAGGGTCCTTCAGTAACATGGCCCACTGCTGGGACCAGGGTCTTGATGGACTGAAAGAGATCTGGTTGCTAGATTAACAAAAGACAGAAGGAAGATAGGATAGGAAATCATAGGAACCGGGACTCTGGGTTTTAGTTCTGGTTCAGGTACCACGTGGTCATGTGATCTTGGTAAGTGTGTCACAACCTGTATGAGTCTCAGTGTAAAGCAAGGGTTTGGAGACAATGAACTCAGGGCTCCTTCCTTTTAGGAAGGCCCAGGAACCTGGTATATACCCATTCCATTCAGTGTGGGAGAAGTTGGCTCATAACTCTGGATCTACTTCTGGCAGTTTGTGTGAGTGTGTGTGTGTGTGTGTGTGTGTGTGTGTGTGTCCCTGTCATCTGAATAAGCAGGACATGGGAGACCTGTGCTGTCATTCCAGAAACCCTACTAAAGAGGGACTGTACCTGGCCCTGGAGCCAAGTTCAGTTCCTTAAGTTCAATAGGACATTTGCAGGTGCCAAAGCAGGGACATTCCCTTTTCTTTCTAGTCTCTATTTCTTATTCCTGAAAACACGTGTGAAACCTTGGAAAGCAACCAAACTCAGCCAACTGTTGCCTTTGTGGAGGGAGGGTTAGGGTAGTAAACGCACAACTGAGTGAATATTTTCCACCAAATCCAAGTCTCTCCTGGAATAGATACATCTGATTCTATCACACTATCCTCGGTGCAGGCATAGGTGAAATCTCTGCCCTGCATGCTTTCCTGCTAACACAGCAGGATACTTATGAGCCTTACAGACCGAGTAGCTTTCCCAGCTGCCCAGTTTGAGGCCCAGCCCCACCTGGGAACAGCCCCAGCCCAAAATGTTGGGACAATTCTGACTTGGCTTAAGCATTAACTGCTTCCTGATGATGCCATATGTGCACATTTTACCTTCCCAAGAAGACTATCAGCCTCCTGTTGGTGAGGTTGCTGGAAGGGCCTGGGTTCCAGTGCTGTAGGGCATCTGTGGGCTTCTAAACACAGATGAGTTGGGGGGCAGAGTTCCATCCCCTTGGGTGTGGTGAGCAGAGGCACCATGTTTGGCACCAACTTAGCTAGCATGTTGTCACTAATCCCAAATGCTACTTTTTCTCTCAGCTCTGTCCCCTCTGGCCAGCTATTTTGTCTTCTTCAGGGCACTAGTATGCAACTAGGCAGTTTGGAGATACTCCAAACATACTTGGCTGGTGGAGGAGCAGACACAGGTACAAAGTTGAGGTTAAGAGATCAGCAGAAAAAATGCTAACAATCTGAATGATGAATACCCTTAGCAACAGGAAATTCAAGTCAGCCATCTCCAGCAACTCAAGGAGGGGCAGGGACATCTCCTGTGCTGTGTCACTGATGCAAGGAGAATTCGAGGTGGACAGTGAGCATCTTTTATCCCGTTTGTTCTTTTCATCTCCCAACTGGGCTGTGCATGCAAGAGAAGCGTGAGTCAAATGGAAAACAGTGAGCAGAAAGAGTAGTTGAAATGGAACTGAATGATTCTGAGCCTTGCAGTCTTCCAAGTTTACCTTTCCTTATGACTCAACTTTTGATGAAGGAATACTAGCTTTTGTCCAGACTTCAGGCAAAATTATAAGAAAGCCATTAGGTCTTATATACCCGTTCCCTTCTGAGCAACTTCCTAAACTCCAGACCTCATGATTGCTGGATGGATACCCAGGACCCTCTCTCTTATTGTTTTCTGGAGAGGCCAAGTTCCTGGCCTGCCGAGGTGCAAGTAGGTGACATGGTGGAGCCAACGTGAGCTTTACCGCCATATCAGGATCCCAGGCCTGCCACTTACTAGTTTTGTTTTCTTGGACAAATTACTTAACTTTCATGAGCTCAGATGTTTTCATAAATACCTAGAACAAGTGATTGGCACTTCTCTCCTGGGATGTAAGAAATGGTTAGTAAGAAGTCTATGAAGCACCACCTGGCTTCTGTTGTGGGGGAGTCAGCAATCCTGTTCCCTGTCACTTCCTAGGGGCTTCATTCCCTACCAATGGGCAGTAGCTGGGACTGCTCCGATTACACTGATTCATACCGAGGTTAGTGAACTTACTCCTTTCATGGAAAATTTGCATGTTATAAGCAAAATTCTTTTTTTTTTTTTGTTCCAGGGATCGAACTTGGGACCTTGCACTTGTGAGGCAGGTGGCAGAACCACTGAGCTAAATCCCCGGCCCCAGCCAAATTCTTAATCTAAATGAATACCTAATTAGCAGATCACTGAAGAACCTTTAGTAGTTTTTTTTGCACTGCTAGGCTTCAAACCCAAGGCCTCCCATATTCCAGGCAGTGATCTACCACTGAGCTATACCCCCAGTCTCTAGTGTTGGTTTTTTAAGGCAAGGTTCTTTTGTATTACTTGCTTATTTTTGACCCACTCCAGCCCCCAGCCCTCCCATTTCCAAAGAGAATGCAGGAATCCAGCCACTTTTCCTGTATTTGCTGCTCCCTTGACCTTGGGGTTCACCCCAGAGCATGCTAATGGTAGCACTTACATGTCTATCTGGAATTGGGCGTGTGAAGAAGGAGATCCCCAGCATGCTGAGAAGACTGACCAAGAGGAGGAACGTGCTAAAATAGAGGTAGTGTATGCTGCAGATGGGCATAGGGCACTTGCTCTTCTCACAGGTCCTGTGTCCATAGATAACCTCAGGCAGCAGTCGAAAGAAGCCGATCACAATCCCCAAAGTCAGCCCCCAGAAGGCACCCTGCCAAAGAAGGAGCCCAAAAAATCATCTGGGAGGAAGATGGGTAACGACACAAACCAGCTTTATCATCACTTTCCTGACTAGCTGGGTTCTAAAGTTAAACTAGATGTCTTGCAGAAGATAAGGTGAGCAAGCGAGGGCGTACCAGACCCACCAGCACTCTCTTAGGTCAATCAGAGAACTTAAGTAAAATTTCAACAGTTTAGAGAGAAACCATGAATAGTGTCCAGTAAGAGAGCTGGCATCCCCATTTGCTTAAGTGCTGCCTCTCTGGCTGCCACGTCAAAACCCAGGAGCCATCTCTTTCCACCCTGTCCTACCATCTATTCCCCGGGAAGCACTGTTGGCTCTAGCTCCAAAATATATCCAGAATCTAACTCCTTGCCATTATCACTAGGGCTACGACATGAACCCTGCCCCACTGTTCTTTCTCACACAAGTGGGCTCCTCACTTTGTCTTCTGATTGCACGCTGGCCTTACAAGAGTCAGAATAGTCCCTCAAAGCTTACACTAGAAAATGTCATATGCTGCCTAGACTTTCCACTGGCTTCTCAGCAGCTGCCAAGAGAATCAGACCGCAGTGCCACATGACGGTTGACCTCACCTGGCTCTGCTACTTTCCCATTAGTTATTCCATTCCAGCCATCAGAACCCGCTTCCTGTCTTCTTCCCCTTCCTGTTTTGCTCTTGTCTTGGGGCCTTTGCGCTCACCCTTCTCTCTGTGTGTCTCCTGTAGGTTTTAGTATTTCTGGTGTGTTCTTCAGGTTTCAGACCCAAAGTCACTTCCTTAAGAGAGAACTTCTTCCACCACCTTACCTAATGCCCTCATTTGTCTACCCCCAACTCCTAGCCTTCCTTGCCAGCGCCATCATCTTTTAAAATCTGTTAAGCAGCACTTTGCCACTATCTGAAATCATTATTTGCTCACTGGGCATTGTCTGTCTCCTTCAAATAGACTGTCCACAGCATGAAAGTAAAGACTTGGATTTCATTTGGAGGCTGCATCTGCAGCCTGACTCAGGGGTGAATGGATGGGGAGAGAGAGAGGGAGAGAGTGAGAGATAGACTGGAAAAGTGCATTAGGGTTCTGGTGCCTGCCTCCCAAGCACAAGGTCCCAAGTTCGATCCCTGGTACCAAAAACAAAGAAACAAAGAAACAACAACAACAACAACAACACCAACACCAACAGAAGCACATTAGGTTAAAGTGGGAGCATATAATATGTCTGAAACTTAAATTCTGGGTTAGCAAGACAGTCCTGATCAGTTCCCCTCATTTCCCTTTGGTAACACACTCAATCACTCAGACTACCTGCCTCTCTTCTTACTCATGCCCTTCCCAGGAGGGCAAAGAGAAGGAGCTTTAGGGCCCAAAGTGACCCCTTCCCAACATTCTTGCTGATAAAATTGAGTCCTGGTGAGCTGGTTGGAACAGGAAGTACTAGCTGGTGGTCTAGAGGACTGAATACCTGAGACGAGCAATAGAGAAAACATTGGCTAGGTGGAGTAGTAAATAGACATTCCTGGCAAAGTAAACAGTTCATACAAATGAAGGGAGTCCAGAGGACACAGGGGACAGTTCAGTAGTCAGCACTCTATGGAGTTGGTGGGATAGACTCGGGCTGTACCTGGAGTGTAAGGCCCAAGCAGTAGGCAAGGGTCCTCAACTACTGGGCTTAGGAAGTTGTGCAAGGGCCATTTCTTCAGTGCTGGGAAATAAGAAGATTTAAGATGTGACTAAAACATTTGAAAAATCATAAAAGAGATTTAGGCAAACTATACTTTCAAAGTGTTATCGACGAAATGACCAAACCATTAGTGGGGATCTTTATTTGGTCTTAAGTATGGCCCAAAGAAGTGGTTCAAATAATTATGTCTTCAATACACAGAATGTGGAAGAATCCCACTGCTATGTATCCCCCAGTGAGTGTGGGATCTCTGAGGATGACACATTCATGTATGGAGGCAATGGAAGAATATTTTCCTACAGCTAAATATGTGGGAGGGAGAATCATTCACAATTTCTCATCGCCACCTCCCAAGGTTTAAGGTGATCAGGCTTGCATGGCATGGCTGAAAGTGGATTTCATTAAAAAAGGAGGAAAACAAATGAGAGGTCTCCCTTTTCCTCCAAGGACAAAATCTGCCCAGGAAGACATGATATCTCAGAAAGCAAATGATGTCATAGTGTGAACTCTTGAGTACAAGAGAAACCCCTCCAGGACAACTCTTATAAAGTCTCTGCGGTATGAAGGCAACCCCTCACACCTTTCCACACCAGCACCCACCTCCTCACTGACTCTCTTGGAAAACACAGCAAGTATGAAGAGGGCAGTAATGGGTGGCGTCAGGCAACTCCTCACTATCAGCATATATTCAAATAAATTTTCACTGAGACCTGTTTCTATAATAGGGATCCAAACAATGGTGGTAGCAAGTAAGGTTATAATAAAAAACCTGTAAGTTAAACAAAAAAATCAGGGAAAATTTGATGAGCTTTCTCCCTGCCAATAAAATAGCTGAAAACTATACACTTTTATTATACAGAAATAATATCAATCACATACAAACTGTTTTAGAAATCAGAAAAATTAGTTCCTTAATCATTTTATCAGGGCAGAAAACCACCAAACCAAATTATATATAAGACATTAAGAAAATCATAGATCAATAGCCTTCATAAGCATAGATGGAAAAATCCTTGACAAAATATTAGCAAAGCAAACCCAGTGATACATAAAAAATGCAATATGCCCAAACATGGTTTATCTCATGTTTGCAAGGTTGGTTTAACACTCAATAACCAATACTTGTATTTGTTTTTTCCTTTTCTCATATTTATTCCTTTCCCTTCTTTCCTTTCCCCTATCCCTCCCTCTTCCTCTTCCTCTTTGGACCTTTTCTTCCTATTTCACATTATCTATTATCCTTACTTACACTTTTGATACTTATTTTGTTACTTTTGATCCTTATTTACATTTTGATCCTTATTTACACTTTCAGTTTCTCACACCGGAGAAGCTATTCGGTATTCACACATGTGTGTCTTATTTATTTTGCTTAAGAGTATCGCCTCAATGTGGACCCATTTAGCTATAAATGTCTCTAGTTTCTCATTCTTTATGGCTGAGTAGTACTCCATTTTAAACTTAATGAATAAAAAACCCCCAATAATTGTAATTTTCTGTGTTAACAGGATGAAAAAGAAAAAAACTCATACGATAATTTTATTTATTTATTAATTTTTTAATTTGGTACCAGAGATCAAACTCCGGTCCTTGCGCTTGTGCAGCAGGTGGCAAAACCACTGAGCTAAATCCCCGGACCCACATGATAATTTTAATAGCAGCAGACAAGCACTAGACATAATTCAACTAGAAAATTCAACTCTAGAAAATTCAACTCCACTTTTCTGAAGATTTTAACTTAGCCCTTTGGTTTCCCACAATGTACAACAGTGGAATTAAATAGATGTTTCGTGGGGGAAACTTGTGCATGTTTGAGAACCCTCAATTTGACATTTCAATTCCATATGGCTGATGCAAATAGTATGGGTCTTTCTATCTCCTAATAGTGGGCTCTGTCTGGAATTTTAATCTAGCTCTTGTTGCTCCGAAGTGCCCTGGGAACAGAGGGGAATTTCTGCAACATAATAAAGAGCATCTATAAAAATCCTACAGCTAATGTCATACTTCAGGGTGAAAGATTAAACACTTTATCCCTAAGACTGGAAATGATGCAAGGGTCCACTTTCACCACTTCTACTGAATACTGTACTCAGGATTATATACAGAGCAATAAAGTAAGAAAACAAAAATACAAATCAGAAAGAAGCCTATCTTTATTCATGGAGATGTGGTCGTATGCACAGAAAATCTCAAGGAATCTACAAAATGTGTACTAGAAGCAGTTAAGTGAATTTAGAAAGGTTCACAAGATATAAGGTCAATTAGAAATTGTATTTCTTTGTACTAGTAGCAAATAATGGGGAATTGATTTGGAAAACAATTCTGTTAAAAGTAGCATTAAAACCACAAGCTAGTCAGGAATAAGCCTAATGAAAGAAGTGCAAGATCTCCACACAGAAAACTAAAAAGGTGAGAGAAATTAGAGAAGATTGTCATCACATGGTGGCAGGACATGGCAGTCTAATGTTCCTTAGTCCCACTCATGGGGGAAAGAGCCCTTCATACCTAGTGACCTCTTCAAGGCCTGTTTCTTCTTCTTTAGATGAGGTCTCACTGTGTTGTCCAGATTGACCTCAAACATGATTTTCTCATCTCAGCTCCTGATGTTTAGTCCATTTACATTTCATGGAATCACTGATGTATTTGGATATGTGCCATCCTATCACAGTAATTGTTTTCTATTTAAATCACCTGTTTTCTATTCTTTTCATCCCTTTTTAGATTTCTCTTGGGCTGCTCATATATTTTGTTAGTTATTTTCTATTTCCTCCTATTAACTTGTTACTTAAACATTCTTGAACCATTCTCTTATTGGTCAGTTTAGAGATTAAATGCATTTCTAATGTTATACTCTGGGACAAGTTTTACTTTTTTCATATTTCCAATAATTCTAGAATCTTAGAATATTTAAGTTTGATTTAGCTTCCCATTTTCTCTGCTTTTATTGTCATATTTTACTTCTATATGTTATAAATCCACAGACATTTTTTCTCATTAATGTTTTATTTATTTATTTTTTAAAAATTCTTTTATTGGTACATTTTAGGTATACAATATGTTTACATTTATCTTTGGGTGCTTGTACCTGTACATGATGTATCTTGGTTCTTATTTTTTCCCATTACCTGTGTGCCCTTCACCCCTCCACCCTTCCCTATTTACATAGACTTTGTTTCCATTTTTTTTTCTTTTCTCCTAATTTTTCCTTTCCATTCTTTCCTTTCCCCATCTCCTCCCACCACCCCTACCTCTTTGGACCTTTTCCTATTTCAAAGTATCAATTATTAGTTATTAATCCTTTTAATCCTTATTTACACTCTCAGTTTCTCACACTAGAGAAACTATTCACTATTTACACATGTGTGTCTTATTTATTTCACTTAAGAGTATGGCCTCAATATGCATTCTCATTAATGTTTTAAACAGTCAATGTTCATTTATATTTACACATATGTACTCTTTCTGGTGCTCTTTATTCTTCTCTAAAGTTCAATTCTGAAATAAGACCCAAGTGAGATTATATAAAGGTGCAAATTCCCAATGATGAATGTCATTATATTGTATACCTAGAATGTACCAATAAAATTAATTTTAAAAAACTGATAAAGTTCAATTCTGCCTGGGATATTTTTCTTAAGCCTGAAGAACTTCCTTTAGTATTTCTTATAGTGCAAGTCTAATGCAGTACATTCTTCCAACCTTTGTACTTATCTAAAAACATATTTATTTCACCTTCATTTTGGAGAATATTTTTGATGTGTATTGAATTCTAGTATGGTAGCTTTTTCCTCTACCATTTGCAGATATTTTTTTCTGGCTTCCATAGTTTCTGTTGAAGATCAACCAGTCTCTATGTTGCTTCTTTAAAGGTAATATGATTTATTTTCCTTTGGCTGTTTTAAATGCCTTATTACCTTCAGTTTCCAGAAGTTTCACTAAAATATAGTCTAAGTATTGTTTCCTTTGTGTTTGTCCTGCTTTAATTTGTGGGGTTTCTTAAGACTCTAGACAGTTGTCCATCAATTGTGGAAAGATTCTAGTCATTATTTTTTCAAAATTATTTCTATCTAACTTGTTCCCCTCTATCTCTGTGATTTCAGTTACACATATTATTACTCTGATTGTGTTTTATGTGTATCTTACTTGTTTTGTGCATTTCAGTCTGATATTATTCATTAATTTCCAATTCAATACTTATGTCTTCTGCTATATCCAACTCAATGTTAACTCATCCACTGAGGTCTTAATTTCACATTTTTATTTTTCAGTTCTAGAAAGAACATTTTCAATCTTTTTATATAAATTCTAATCCTCAGGTAAAAATTTCAATCTTTTCATCTATTTTATATATCTCCCCCTCTATTTTGCTGCCTATATTAATCATGAATTTTTTTTTTTGGTACCAGGGATCGAACTCAGGTCCTTGTGCTTGCAGGCAGGTGGCGGAACAACTGAGCTAAATTCCTGGCCCCTTAATCATGGATATTTTAAAGTCCTTGTGTGCTAACATCACCTGTGGGTCTAATCTGTCTGTCTATCTATCTATCTATCTATCTATCTATCTATCTGCCATGCTGAAGGAGAATATTCTTACCTTGTTCTTCTCTAACTTCTTCATTAAGTATATATAGGCTTTTTAGCATGATACAGATATGCTTTATCATGTTGAAAAGCACTTTTTTTGCAATATCTTTTCATTACCTGTGAGTAGGTACCTATAATTTTCCTTTTTTGATCTGTGTGAGTTATATTTAATACATTTTCTAATACTGAATGGTCCTATTTTTTGAGAAAAAAGCACAGCTGGTAATGATGTATCACTTTTAATGTATTGTTGGATTTGTGCCTAACATTATATTTCTATTTTTTGTATTGATATTTCAAAGTCAGATTAGCCTTTAGTTTTATTATTTTTCTGTGCTATGTTTGTTATGTTTTGGTATCACTGGCTTGAGCTTCCTAAAAAGAATGTTTTCTTTTTCCCTATATTCTCTAACAACTTAATAAAACAAATCAGTTTCTTAAACTTTCTCAGAAAAAGGCATTTTCAACCATGGAATGGCAGTACAAATATAAAGGCAAACTCAAACACTTGCAGGGATGAGAGAGATAGACTAGATAGCAAACATGCACCTTGAGGTGACATAAAGGGACAGTGGTTTTCTTTGTTTTGTTTTGGTACCAGGAATCGAATTCAGGACCTTGTGCTTGAGAGGCAGGTGTGGTGCCACTGAGCTAAATTCCCAGCCCAAAGACAGTGTTTTAAACTGAGCAGGGTGGTGCCCACCTGTAATCCCAGCACCTTAGGAGGCTGGGCAGGAGGATTTGTGCCAAAAAAAGCTGGGGGTTGAGGGTGTGTGGTGGGGATGTAGCTCAGGCCAAGTTCCTGGGTTCAATTCCCAGTCCTGAATAAAAGAAAAAAGTGATTCTTTTTTAGCCACAATGTAGGGCCTGTTAAAGATGCGTGGGCTGGATGTGGCTCATGAGTGGCCAGGGTGAAACCTTAGGGAACAAGTCCCTTACAGACAGGGACCTAACAGATGTTGTGTGGCATGACAGTTAATTTCATGGCCCCAGACAGACAAGTCTGAGTTTCCCCCTCTGAGCTACTATTTTTCCATTTGCAAATGAGAATCCGAACCGTAAAACTTACATTTAACAGTTGTCATGAGGACTAAATGAGATGAGATAGTTTATGTAAATTTCCCCAAAAGAACTATTGGGAGGGGTACAATAAACTATGCTCATTTATATCATTGTGATTATTTCTTTCTTTTTTTTAAACAAGCAGAAACCATTTTCTTTGTGATTATCAAAGCAATACATACATCTTCATTGCAAAATTGCAGCAATAAAAACCCAACTAAGCAAAATCTCTCCAAACCAACAAAACTTCATAAATAAGATGATTCTATATACAGTGTGTCAGCCTCACAAATAACATACTGGGGTGACAGTATTAACTAATTTCACTCACTGACAGTATTAACTAATGCGATTAGAGGAATACTTCACCTTGCTGTTATCATGAGTTCATTTTCAGAGGCCCGAGGCCGCATCCAGGCATAGATATTCATTGTGAACAGGGAACTGACACTGTTGAAAGCAGAAGTCAAGGAGGAAATGATGGTGGCACATACTGTGGACAACATCATGCCCTGTAGGCCTGGAGGAGAAAGAATACTTACTGGATTCCCAGCTCTTTTTTTTTTTTTTTTTTTGCAGTACTGGGGATCGAACTCAGGGTTGTACTCACCAGGCAGGCACAGCACCACTGAGCTACATCCCCGGCCCTTAAAGTTTTTGAGAATTGATTGACTTTATTACAAGAGACTTTTTTTTTTGGTACCAGGGATCGAACTCAGGACCTTGCACTTGCCAGGCAGGTGCAGCGCCACTGAGCTACATCTCCAGCCCTCTCCCACCTCTTTCATCATGCCAGATGACACAGGCCTCCTAAGGAACTTTTCCAAATCCCAAATTTCCTCCTACAAAACATCCAAATTTTACTTGGAATAGAGTTCCACCTAAGATAGATTATTACATTACATGTTTTCTTGCTTCGTAACAAGACTTAATTGTTTCCTGCTGTGTTTTCATATAATAATAGGAGCTAATATCTCCTGGGTGGTTAGTCTGTACCAGAACATCTCTTCAGACATCAGCCTGTACCATCTTAAGTACAGTCCTGTGAGATGGTTGCCACTGCTTTCCTCTCTTACCTGTGAAGAGTAAGAGCCTCAGAGAAGGTTCAGACCATATGAAAGTGATGTCCTTCCCAGTGCCACAGTGCCCTCATCTGTAGAGTGGGCATATAGTATTTACCACATACAGCTGCTGTTAATATTAAGATACATTTGAGTAGATGAGTTGATACAATGCCCAATACAGAGCAAGAACTCAACAAATGCTAGTTATAAACAATAATCTGGTATTACTACTTGGAAGGCCATGTGGAAGGGATGTTAACTGCTCTGTTAGAAGATATTTTTCCTATGTGTTATTGGGAAAGCCTGAGGGAAGATAACCAGGATCTAAACTGGAAGCCTACTGTGGCGAAATGTCCTTAGTGTGCCAGTAGACAGACATAGACTAGGGTCCTTGGATTTGCCTTCCTTCAACTGTCAACACTTTCTTGCAGCCTTGGTTGTTTGAAGCTGTGGCATTTCTCGAGGCTTAGGTGGGGAGTCCAGACAACTCACTTTCTGAACTGTGGGATGGTTAGTTTTCACTCAATCTGATTCCACCTATAGTGTATTTTGTGGAAATGTCTCAAGTTTTCCAACCTATTGTTCTCCAGAACTAACACAGAATTTTAAAAAAATGTATTCATTTGGCCATTTCAGTGGAATTTGGGGAGAAAGGTGTGATGAATATGTGAATTCATTATCATCTCAAAAGGTCATCTGACTGTTGGATAGTTGCTCATCTCCTTTCCTATGCTTATGCCTATGAAGATGGTGAGCTCTTCAAGTGCAGGACTAGTTTCACTCATCTTTGTGTTTGTTTTCATGGCTTAGAACAATGCCTTACACAGCGTAGACTCCATTTTTTGGATGAATGAGCAAGGGAACCAGCTCATCAGGTGACATAAATAATGCAAACAAAATGTGCAGATTTTGCCTCCAAGAAGATATGCACTACCAGTGTGCAAAGAATAGAGAGGGAGGAGGCCTTGATCCTTTTGTCAGGGCACGCAAACGTGCCCTTCATGGTGCTAATGTCCCTCCCACCTGGCAACCTGTATTTCCATCCAGAATGACAGGCTAGCTGGTAAGAAAGTCACCTCTAGAAACCTCACTCCTAACTGGCCACTTATAGCCTTAGGGGCTAGGCTCCCATGGGATTCTATGGCTCTCAGCAGCAGGGCCTGTTTCTTACTAGTAGGCAGCAATGATACCACCATCCTCGGATAAGCGACAGGGCTACAACTGCGTTGGGCGCCGCAGTACTTTTCACATTCTGAAGGTACAACACAAGCCACTTGGTCTGCAAAAAGAAGTAACAGTCACATCAACACACTGGCCTTAAAGCTCTTAAATATGAGCCCAGGGTAAGGGAAGCAAATTAGGAATTATATATGCACATGTAAATGTTAAATTCTCAGTCCACCGGTGTCAGCTCCAATTCATGATCCTCACATTCTTGGGAGCTGAGGCTGGAGAAAAGGATTAGGACTCAGGCTCCTGGGAGTCAAATGAATCGTACTCCCCCCAGTTCATCAAGTGACCCAAGGCAAGTCATGGGCCCTCAATAAGCCTTCCAATGATTCTAGCTAGGTGTTAGGAAAACCAGTGGATTATTTGTCACATACTAACATGTGAGCAACCCATAACCTTACTACTTGGACCTGACAGAGTTGTTAATTCAGAGTAAGAAGTTGGGACTGCAGTTCTTAGCAGAGGGACCTATTTCCAACCTTTTAGGGAATTATCAACAAAGTACTGCTTAACAGCTGAAAAGCAAATTGGAGAATGTTGAAACTAGTCTCAGTTAAAACTGGGAATAAATTAGGAAAGAAATGGAGGCATGCCTCAGGAGCAAATAGAAGAAGAGATTAGAATTAGAGATATCTATTGAACATATTTCTTATTACTGAAAAGCATCCTACATTTTATTTCCCTTTGTCAAAAGCATTATAGCAAGAGACTCTCCCAGGAGTCACCTGCTCTGCCCCTGTGGCTGTGCCAATCAGAGCGAAGTGCTTCATTCAATTTAATGAATAAACAGACTCGTTACCCTGAGAGACAGAATAATCTAGTAAGGATGAGCTAGTAAAACTAGCGACTGGAAGTGGGGATGAGGTACAGCCACGGAATTATGATAACTCGTTAGGGAAAACACAAATGCTTTAATAGTATTTAATGTGGGCCTTGCTCTGAATCAGGCTCACTTTAGTGGCTGCATGGCGCTCTCTCCACTGTACTTGGGGCCGTGAGAAACAACGGCAACATCCATTAGATCTTCTCACAGTGCTTGGCACACCGGGTGTGCCTAGTATAATACTAGTGATATGATGGGAGCAACTCAATCTTCCTGCAGACTCTGTCCCAAAGTCTGCAACCCCTGATAGAGAGAAGGAAGCTCTGACACTTGAGAAAAGGCACTGATCTACTCTTTCCTGTCTGAACTTATCACCCTGGTATAGTATTTCTGACTTGCTGTGTATATCAATAGTTTCTGCTAGACTTCTGTTAAGAAGTATTCTGGGGCACCCCAATGACCAGTATACTATAGGAGACCCGAAACCCCAAATACTATTTCTCTGAAAGAGGAGTAGCTAATTGGTGTGAGCTCATTAGAATAAAAAATTTACTTGGGTTAAAAAAAAGAATTTACTTGGGTAAAAGATGCGGCTGATCATTCCTGGCATCACCATGAGGAACATAGGCAACAACTTCAGGTACCCATACAGAAGGAAGCCAGCTTTCATGTGAGATATGTTCTTCCCTGCCAGGCCCCGCTGGACAGAAACCTGCCAAGGAAACACAGGTGAGTGAAGTGAATGGTGACTCTACCAGGGTGCTTGAAGCCTGGTCCACCTCAGCACAGATAGGACAATTGTGACCTGCTAAAGCAGCAGGATGTGCCCTCTAGTGGGTGTTTGCTAAGCTGCTCACTACTTGCCCAAACATCTCTGGGTCTTTCAGGGTCAGGGAGACACATATCACCCATGAACACATTTTGTACAGTACATAGCTGCCAGAGGGGACAGATGGCATTGACTATGGCCTTATTGCTAGAGCTGTGCACCAATTATGGCGATGCTAGGCTTACAAGCTGTCCTCTAGAAAGAAGAATACTCCCTCCTGAAGGCCATAGATTGTTTCTGCCAGAAAGAATAAAGAAACTTTGTGACATCAAAGTACAGATGGGCCCCTGGTAATAAAAGAATGTGGAGGGCAGAGACCAACTTCATTTGTCTATATTAAATAAACTACTATAGCCCTTTAAAATGCAAGCTCTCCCAGGAGATGTTTCAGGACCCATTTCACGGTGCCGGTGCTATTAGAAGCAGTATACTGTCAGGCGGAAGGGAATAGTACAGCAAGCAATTGGAGAAGCACTTAGGAGAAAAAAGTAAAAACATGGTTGAGAGCATCAAAACAATGCACTAAAAATTATGCTCTTAAAGAATGTTCAAATAAAAAATACCCAAAGTGACTGAAAGGCATAGGATATGAACGGTATATACACTGTGCTTTTATGTTTAAAAAAAAGCCAATAGGAATAAACAAATATGCTAATAGTGGTTAACCTTGGGGTAAGAGGATTAGCAGGTAGGATTTTCATTTTTTTCTTTACTTTCCAAGTGCATTCTTTTAATAACAGCAGAAAGCCCAAATGGATCCTGACCCATACAAAGGTATTGATTCTTAGGAAATTTACTGGCCAGCCTGCTGCTGATCTTTTAGTGGAGAGGGGCCTCTCCTGAGTAGATGGTGGGCACATGTTTCTGTTCCTGGCCTTAGCTTAAACCTGAGCATAGAAAAGGTGGTCTCTTATGGAGGGGATAAAGTAGCAGGACTAGGGCAGAAATATGACCTTTACTTTGAGAAAAGTATGATATAAGGACATTAAATTATTCTATGTAGAAAGTCTTAAACACTTTAGCAGATTACAAAGTGGGGGAAGGGAAGGATTATTGTTTACAAGTGGTGGAGGCCAAAATAATTTTTCATCACTTTATTAGCTTTTTTTGGTAATTAAAAATGTTTCTTAGGGCTGGGGATGTAGCTCTTGTCTACAAGTGGAGGAGTCCTTATCTAGCATACTTAAGGGCCTGGGTTTTATCCTCAGCAGTGCTAAAAAAATGTTATGGCTTGGATCCAGATGTTCCTTGAAAACATCATGTGCTTATAGGTGGGGCTTTTCAGAGCTGACTGGATCTAGGGCATGTGATACTGGAATTAAGGGTGTGTAGTACTAAATTAGTCCCCTAGTAGATAATGGGAAGGGCTACCCTGGGTGTGGGTGGCACCATCCAAAAGTCTTGTAGCCTGGATGGGATAAAAGGGAAAAGGAGGCTTACTTTGCTGCTGCTGCAGCTGCTGCTTGCTGCTTGCTGCCCTCTGCCTTCCTGCCTGCCATGCCATGAGCTGTTTCTCCTCTGCGATGCCCCTCTGCCGTACTGCCCTACCTTGGAGCCAATCGACTACAGAATAAAGCCTCTACAAACTGTGGGCTAAAATAAACTTTTCTTCCTTTAACTTGTGAGTGTTGGGTTTTTGTCTCAGTGATGAGAAAAACAACTAAGATAACAAACAATGCCACGCCCCCCCGACAAAATTAAACAAGAAACACATTTTTCTTAAAACATTTCATTTACAAGTTGGAAAGTTACATATTCTACTTCTATGGTTTTTTTTTTTTTTGGTACTGGGGATCGAACTCAGGACCTTGCGCTTTTGAGGCACTCGGATAAATCTCTTCTATGCTTTTTAATGATTACTTTTAAAATTTTTAATGTACATACAACTTAAAGTCCAAGGAAAATCAGTAGCCCTTCTCTTATTCTGAACAATTTAAAGTCCATAGACAGATATAACTACATTATGGTCTTATACTTGTTTGGTTTTTACTTCCCATTTTAGTAATTATTGCTTTTACCCAACACTTTAGATTTACTCATATGCCTGTCAATGTCTTTGCTAACTATTCTTTCTTGTTCTTCAGTACCTCCATTTTCTGTCTATACATTCCTCAGTCTTTTGTAAGGAAGATTGTATCTTTATTTTGCTCTCTGTGTAGTGTGTGTGTTTGTGTGTGGTACTGGGGATCCAACCCCGTGGTGCTTTACCACTGAACTACATATCTATCTATCTATCTATCTATCTATCTATCTATCTATCTATCTCTTTATTGATTGATTGATTGATTTTGAGATAGGATCTTTCTAAGTTTCTCAGGCTGGCATTGAAGTTGTGATCCTCCTGCTGCAGCTTTCTAAGTAGCCAAGATTTCAGGGATGTATTACCATAGCCGGCTTGCCCTTGTTTTCGAATAATACTTTTAGCTGGGCATGTAATTTGGAACCGGCATTTCTCCCCATAGTTTGAAAAAAAATTACTTTTCTACCTTCTGGCTTAAATTATAGCTGCTGAGGTCTGCTGTCAGTATAACTGTCTTCTACTATAAGTAATCTTTTCTTTTAGATGGCTTCTTAAAATCTCTTTGTCTTTGATATCTTGAAAGTATACGTTTGATGTGTGGGTTAGTCATTCTCTCTTTGAATGTTGCTTTTCTCTTTCTTCTGAAAACTCAAATGAGATATATTTTAACCCTGATTTTGTCTTCTATGTTATTTCCTTTTACACTTTGACTTTTTGTACTTTTTGGGCAATTTCCTCAGTTCTCTCAGGTTACAATATTTTTTCTTCAGCTCTGTTTAAGCTGTTATATTAACAGTTACTGAGTTTTACCTTTCAGTAAATTTACTTTTCTTTGTTAGAAGTTAGAATTTTCAAATCTGGCTGACTTTTTTGATAGAATTTTAAAAATGTTTTTTTATTTTCACTTTTATTTCTTCAACTTTAAAAATTTATCCAAAACTTCAATTTTCTAAAATTTGGGAGTACTAATTCTGTGGTTTGGTCATTGTAGTTCAACTCTTTCATGTTTTCTAATTTGGGGTTAGTAGCTCAAACTGATCAGGAATTTGTTTATGAGAATCTTGAAAGACCTTAGTTGAGGGTTGTCATAATTTGTTCCTGTCATATCTTAGTTACTTTTCTCATTGCTGAGACAAAATAGTTAACACTGAGAAGTTAAAGGAGGAAAGGTTTATTTTGACTCATAGTTTGTAGAGATTTCAGTCCATAGTCAGGTGGCTCCAAGGCAAGGTGGTATGTCAGAGGGCTATCACAGAGGAGAAATAGTCCATGGAGTTTCAGGCAGAAGGCAGCAAGCAGTGAGCTGTAGCTTGACCTCCATCTTTCTCTTTCATTCCATTTGCTACCTTTTGGGTGGTACCACCAACATTCAGGGTGGGGCTTCCATTATCCACACCCTTAATCCTAATTTCACACCCTTAGGGGCGGGGAATTTAGCTCAGAGGTGCCTGCCTGCCTTGTGAGCACAAGGTCCTGAGTTTGATCTCTGGTACTGAAAAAAAAATTTAAAAATATATATATCACACCCTTAATCCACATTCACACACCCTAGGGCCAGCCACCTCTAAAAAGCCTCATCCATGAGCACATGAGGCTTTTGGGAGACCTCTAGATACAAGTCATAACATGTTCCTATAACAAAATGGCTTTGATTGAGAAATTTATAAACAATGGAAATTTATTTTTCACAGATTTGAAGGCTAGAAAGTGTAAGATTAAGATGGCAACAGATTCCATGCCTGATAAAGGTTTTGTCTCTGCTTCCAAGATAAAGCCTTGAACACTATCCTTGCATGATTGAAGGGATGGAGCACTAATCCCATTTATGAGAGCAGGACCTTCATTGTCTAATCACCTCTTATAAGCCTCACCTTTTAATAATGTTGTATGGGGATTAAATTTCAATGTGAATTTTGGAGGGAACATAAACATTCAAACTATTGCTGGGGTACATCCTACAGAGAGAATCTGTCACCACAGCTGACTGGTCATAACAAATGTTGGATGAGTTTATGTTCATTTTTCACATGGGATTCGCCACACAGTTTAATTAAACTGTAGAGTAGAATTCTCACTTCCTGTAATTCACCTCCAGGCACTTTTTTTTGCTGTTGTTCTTTCTCTCTGGTGGTAGGCAGATTTTTTCCTAGTGTATCATTTCAATGAGGCTATAGATTTTCAAGACCTTAAGCTCTACACAGAGGATTTATTTTTTGTCACTCATTAACTTAGAGCCTTTCTACTGTTTATACCATGCTGCTTAAATCTAAACCTTTAAAAACCAAGCTTGGGCAGGCATGGTGGCACATGCCTATAATCCCAGAATTCTAGGAGGCCGAGGCAGGAGGATCACAGTTTGAGCCCAGCCTGGACAACTTAGTGAGAACTTGTCTCAAAATAAAAAATAAAAAAGGCTAGGAATATAGTCCAGTGTGAAGGCTCTGGGTTCAATCTCCAGTAATGCAAAATAAATGAGAGAGAGAGAGAGAGAGAGACTTTTTATATTTTATCCAGTATCCTAGGAATTTGTATTGGAAGGTAGTTCAGGAAATATAGTTTACCTATTGCCAGAAGCAGAATTTCAGGGGAAACTATTCAAGTTATTATTATAGAGAAGTTGAAAAGAAAAGTATAGAAAGATTAAAAAAATTTCTAAAGTGGCACAATGAAAATACATAGGGATTTGCTCAGTGGCAGAGGGTATGCTTAGCATGGTCCTGGGTTTAATCTCCAGCCAAGAAAACACTGTGCCCAAACAAAACAAAATAAACAAAAACCCCACAATAAATAGATGGGACTGGATACAAACAAAAAATGGATACATTTCAGAGACTAGCCATGTATTGTGTTCTAAATCTCATTTTGATTCTTGTTTTTCTTGGTAGATTTTACAGATCTATCAACATGTTGTATATACATGTAGCCTACTGTTTCTAGCTGCTACACAGCACTGTACAGTATTATCCCTCTCATTTCATTTACAAACTTTACAGCAACACAATAAATATGGTGATGAACATCTCATATATAGTCCTTCATGAACTTGTGTGAAGACATTTTAGGTAGACTCTAGGGGTCATCACTGCTAGGTAACAGAGCACAGTATACTTAATTTTTTTATTTATTGATTGAGACAGGGTCTTGTTATGTAGTTCAGGCTGGCATTGAACTCACTATCTAGCCCAGGCTGTCTTCAAACTCATGGAGATCCTCCTACCTCAAGCTCTCAAGTGCTGTGATTACAAGTGTGTGCCATCACACTTGGCTTAAATTTTATTAAATCCCGGCAGATCACCCTCCAGAACAGACTGAACTAATCTATACGTCCACCAAAAGTATACAAGGGTTTACAGACATCTGTAACCTCCCTAAGACTTGGCATCATGATTCTTTCTAATGTTTGCCAGTCTCATGATTTTAAATTGCACTTCTCTGATAACTCTCTGTTAGAGAGTATGTTTTAGACAGGGAGAAAGTACAAACTGTATTGATCACTTTACATAGAAGGACTTTTTAACAAAGAATATCAAAGACAAAGTTTCCAGATGACAGATTAAAGGAGATTATTATAAATGTTTCTCATGGACAAAAGACTAACAACAAAATCAACAAGAAAAAGGAGCTCTAACAGAAATATGGACAAAAGATAGTGACAGGCAATTTATAGGAAAAAATTTAAATGTAAATGCCAATAAATATGTATCAGAGAGTTATCAGAGAAGTGCAATTTAAATTCACCTGAAGTCTATCTTTATAAGAGTGTTAGTGTGTTAGTCAGCTTTCCATTACTGCAACAAATACCTAAGATAACCAAATTTAAAAAGGAAAGTTTATTTTGGCTCATAGTTTTGGAGGTTTCTGTCTATTGTCAATTGGCCTGTTGGGGCGTCTATGGTGAGGCAGAATACCATGGCAGGAGCATATGGTGGATGAAGCTGCTCACTTCATTGCTGCCAGGAAGCAACAGAAAGAGGAGGAGGGTCAGGGTCCATATATCAAGGGCATGCCCCTCAATGAACTTTCTTCCATTGGGCCTTACCTTCTGTGAGTTCCACTTTATGATAGTATCACAGGCTGAAGATCAATCCTTCAGCACAAGGGCATTCAGGGGACGTTCAAGATCCAAACTATGGCAGCTAGTTAGGGGATGAAGTTTTGTTACTCGAAAAGTAAGCTGATTTTTCTAATCTCATTGAAGAGTTAGTAGCTCCCCTATTGACTTGTGGAGCCTCATAAGTATTTACATTTTTCTTTGTACCTTTTATTTTATTCCATTAGTCTATGTGTCTATTCTTGGTAGTATAAACTATTTTTTAAATATCTTGTAGGACAAGTTTAGCCCTTTTGCTCTTCATTTTCAAACTTGGGTTAGCTATTTGGCATGCTTTTCTTCCACATAATGTTTAAACCCAATTTATGCTGATATAGCACAGAAAAGTACATTAAAAATACACAGTTATGTGGCACATTAGATAGCATACAGTGTAACCATCATCCAAATCAAGAAATGGAACCCTTCATCCTGCCACAGAAATTTCCGTGTAACTTTTTAAAAAATTAAGGTGAAATTCACATAAAATCCAATTAGCCATTTTAAAGTGAAGGATTACATGCATTCACAGTGTTGTACAATCACTACCTTTCTTTAGTTTCAAAACATTTTCATCACCCCAGAAGAATACCCATATCCATTAAGTAATCATTGTCCATTATTCCTCTCTCTTTTCCTGGCAAGCACTAATGTGATTTCTATCTCTATGAATTTGCTTATTTTTGATATTTTATATAAAACGAATCATCGAATAGGTGACCATTGTTTTTGGCTTCTTTCACTTAACATAGCATTTTTTAGATTCATCTAAGTTGCGACATGTAGGAGTACTTCATTCTTTCTTATGGCTGAATAATATTCTAACATATGGATACACATTTGGTTTACCCATTCACTCACTGATGGACATTTGGGTTGTTTCCACCTTTTGTTGCTGTGGATAATGTTGCTATGCATGCCTGTTTTTTTTTTTTTTTTTTGGTACCAGGGATTGAACTCGGGGCCTTGCACTTGTGCAGCGGGTGGAGAAACCACTGAGCTAAATCCCCGGCCCACCTCTTTTAAACTTTAAACTCTTCCCTCACTCTAGCAATGACTGCTTTGGTGACTATTTTATTTCTTCCTTTCTTTTAAAAAGTAATTGTGTCATATATTTTAGTATTGTCCATGTGTTGAATTTTATACAAATGTAATCATGCAGTATATAACCTTTTGTGTCTAGCTTCCTTTATTTAGCATCACACTTTGAAGATTCAACTATGTTGGGTATAGTTGTGCAGTTGGTTCTCTGTCTGCAGATTCTGCTTTGGGGGATTCAACCAACCACTGATAGAAAATATTTGCTGTATCAAACAAATACATATTTTTTCTTGTCATTAACAGTATAACAACAACTTACATTATAATCTTTTGGTTTTATTAACATCTCTACCTTTTTACTTTTGACTTAATTAATCTCTGCCATGGTCTTTATTATTTTATTTCTGTTTGCCTGCAGATTTATCTCTTTCTTTCTCTTTTTTTGTTGGTGGCTATCTACCTAATTTCTGAATCTGAGTGTTTAGCTCATTATGGTTAACCTTTCATGCCTCTTGAAACACTCAGTTAATATGCTGCTTGGAATTTGCTCTAAAAATTGACATGTAGTGTTTACACTAGCATTAAGTTTTAAAGTATAATTTTTGCTTTTGGGTTTTTTTTTTTTTTTTTTGGTGCAGGCTATTGAACTCAGGACCTTGTGCTTGCAAGGCAGGCGTGGTGCCACTGAGCTAAATCGCCAGCCCTAATGTATAGTTTTTAATGAATGATTTTCTAACTTACAAGCTAGAAACCGCTGAGCTAAATCCCTGGCCAACATCAGTGTCTTTAATAGTGAACATTAAAAGCCACCTAATATTTGTCACTTTGAGAACTGGTTAAATACATTTTAGAACATTACATAGCAGAAACTATACTGCCATTAAAAATGAAAATGTTAAAAAAAAGAAAATGTTGACAATTATATAGTGACAATATATATATAGTGTGTGTTATTATTTAGATCTAAAGTGGGCCCACAAGCCTTATGTGTTTGCAAAATGATTCGATTGTGGGGCACTATAGGTAACTTGCTGTAGACAGCTAGTTAGAAGAGGTGGATCCCAGGGCATCTGGAAGGGTACTATATCACCACGGCATGAGCGGCTTTCCTCTGGCGCCCCTTTTACAATGCCACTTCTGTCTTGGAGTCAGCCAACCATGGACTGCAAAAATGAGCCAAAACAAACCTCTCCTCCATTAAATTGTGGGTGCTAAATATTTTGTCGCAGCAAATGAGAAAAGTGACTAAGACAGTGTGCAACATGTACTTTTTGTAGAGCTGGGACTTGAATCCAGGGTCTTGTGCATGCTAAGTGTGTGTTCTACCATTGAGCTACACCCCTAACCCCTGCAATGTATTTTTGAGTAAAAGGAAACCCATGAGGTAAAAGAGAGCAGTGATAGACTAATTTCATTTATATAAAATATTTGTACATTTCTACTTGTTTATATGTATTGAAAGGTGTCTAGAAGCATGTTCACCAAAATATTGTAGCTACTACTTCTCCTACAACCCCTTCTTATTTTTGTGGTACTGGTATTAGAAACCAGGGCCTTGCAATGATAGGCAAGCACTCTACCACTGAGCTACATCTTAGCTAGTTCCTTTTTATTTTTTTGACTAAATTGCCCATTTTGGCCTTGAACTTGTGATTCTTCTGCCTCATCTCACCCAGCCATACCAGTCACTTCTTGATGGGACCTTGGTGATTTCATCTTTGAACTTTTCTTTATATTGTGACTTTTTAAACAGTAAAGACATGCCATTTTTATTCTAAGGTGGTGGCTATGTTTTATTTTTAACTGAGGTAATGGTCACATAGGTGCTTATGGTATCATTTTTTCTTTAAGATGTACATGTATGATGGTGCACCTGTAATCCTACCTACTTGGGAAGTTGAGGCAGGAGGGCCAGTTTGAGCCCAGCCTGGGTAACTTAGAACCAGTCTCAAAACAAAAAATGAAAAAAGGATGGGCACGTAGTTCAGTGGTATAGCACCTCTGGATTTGATCCTCAGTATAGAAAAAAACCACATCTGTGAGTTAGATAGTATTCTGACATACTTCATGATACAGTAATGGCATTCTAAAATAATGTATCACTGTTATAATCAAAACAAAAAATACATCTATTTTCCACTTTTAAAAAACTCTGCATTTTAGATAATGATGGAAAGACAAAAAAAAATGTAAAGAGTTGACATATTCTAGATGAACCTGTGGGAAAAATCTGCTTTTAAAGATAATTTCTTACAATGTCATTATTTAGCCATAAGTAAAAAGTGGAAAACAGCCCTGACCACAGAGAGCAGACAGGCCATAGCTCTCAGTGGCTGCAGAGACTTTTGCCAATCAGGGAATGTTCCAAAGACCCCATCCCCAAGAACAATCACTGTAGGGACCATATCTTTAATTACCTGATCAGCACACCCATAGAATAAGGAGATAGTAGTGGCACCAAGGATAAGTTTGGGCCAGGCGAAGTCTCCAGAGACGAGATCTCGGAAGATATGGAAAGCATCCTGGCGAGGGATGTAGCACTCTGGCTTGGCAGTCCAGTTTCCTTCACTGGTCTTTCCCGGGATGGTGTAGAAGTAATTACGCTGTAGCTGCTTGTATCCTCCCACTTTTCTAAAGGCTTAAAAAAGCATAATATTTACCATTTCCTTAAAGAGCACAGTAACACATGAGTGAAGAAGAAAGAATGCGAAGTAAGACCCAATGTGATTGGCTGTATTCCAATCTGGCACATGGCTGAGGCTTAGCCAACATTCCCTGTCTCCTGGGCAACAAATGACTTATGAGGAGTGGATCTGACCAAGCTGGGCTATTCAGATTTGCTCTAGTGTTCTTATGCTGATGAAACCAAAGAAGGCTGCTTCTTTCCACTAAGCCCTCCCCTCTCCTCCTCCTCCTCCTCCTTCTTCTTCCTCTCTCTCTCTCCCCCTCTCTCTGTCCCCCCCACCCCCCAACCCCCAGGATTAAACCTAGGGCTTGGTACTGAGCTATATCTCCAGCATTTTGAAATTCTGTTTTTTGGTTTTTTTTGGTACCGGGGATCGAACTCAGGTCCTTGCGCTTGAGAGGCAGGCAGCGGAACCACTGAGCTAAATCCTTGGCCCCAAAATTCTGTTTTTTAGATTTTGAGACAAGGCTTTGCTAAGTTGCCTAGGCTGGACTACAAATTTGGGTTACTCCTACCACCGCCTTCCAGAGTGCTGGGATTATAGGCCTGTGCCACCATGTCCAGCTCCTCTGGTTCTGAGATAACATGGTAGTCTGAAGCTCTTTTGTCTACTTAGTTCAATAAGAATTCTAGATTTAGTCATGCCAGAAGGAAGTATGTTCCTGGAATTTTTTTAGCTACAGGAGCCAAAAAAGTACTAATTTGCCTATACCAATTTTGAGCTAAAGTTCTATCACATGGTATGTAAAGAATCTTGACTAAAATGTAGATTAATATTTTTTTTCTGCAATACCAGCAAAGCATTTATAAAACTTCCTAGTTGAAATTTTCTTCAGATACTACGGCAACTCCCAATATCCTAAGAAGTATAAAATCTTAGCATTAAGGAAAAACATCTAAAAAGGTACTAAAACATCTATTTCACAATGTTTTACTTTATTTTGCCATATAATACCATGTTACTTTGAAATATATTCAGTTTTTGAAATGATTTCAGAGTCATTTGGAGTCAAGGCTGGTCAATAAGAGGATACTGAGTGACTATAGAAGTGACTTTTAAAAGGGGAAGCTGAGGCAGGATGATCGCAAGTTTGAGGCAGCCTGGGAAACTTAGTGAGACCTTTTCTTACAGAAATGACTGAGGATGTAGCTCAGTGGTAGAGCACTTGCCTAGCATCATGATTGAAGCTCTGGGTTCAATTCCTACTACTACTACTACTTACTACTACTACTACCATCAAAACAAAACAACAAAAAGAAAGAAAAAAAGGAGGTAAAAGACAAAACTATAAAGGTATTAGAAGATAATGAAATAGCTTTTAAACTTCAGTTACTGAGTAATTCTTTAAAAAGAAATGAAGAGAAACACAAACATTGACAAATTTGGCCTCAAAATTTAAAACCATTGACAAATTAAAAATGTATTAGGCTGAAAAAAGAGAGTTACATAATGTATAAATGATTTCTATACATACAGCAAGGGAAACTACTGAAAAGAGATATGGTATAAAATACAAGCAGGTAATTTATAAAAGAGTAAATATAAATAGCCATGCTCAGCCTCACTATTATCTGAAAAACTTCAGTTTAAAACAAAAATTGACACACATTAAAAGAATATATTACATAAACAAGTGCTGGTTTGAGGCAGGGTTAGGAAACACACATTCTAATACAGTACTGAGAATACAAGTTAATATAGCCATGTTAGAGAGGAATTTTGAGTATCTCTTGTCAGAGCTGAGCTTACTCCAAGAATGAAAGATTAAATTAACATTCAAAACCAAGTCAGTATAGTTCACTGTGTTGATAGTTAAAAAAGAGAAAAGAAAAAATAATACAATCATCTCAGTAGTTGCAGAAAAAACACCTGATACAATTAAAAAACTACTTGTGGTATACAATCCTTGAAACCTAGAAATAGAAAGAAATTTTATTAGTCTGGCAAAGGCTATCTACAAGAAATCAATGGCAAATATTTAATGATGAAATATTCAAAGCTTTCCCTCTAAAGCATACCCTTGAGGATGAAGCAAGGGTACCTGCTGCCTCCACTTTTATTCAACTGTACTAATGGTCCTGGCCAGTGTCACAAGACAAGGCCCCTCACCCCCACCAAGTATAGGGTTTGTAAGGAAAGAAACAATCCCCCACACGATTTCTTGACTTGAGGGCTGGGCACCAGTGCATGTTCACTTTGTGATATTTCATCTAGCATTACACGTTGATTTGTGTATTTTTAGTAAAAAATTATTATATATACAAAACTATAAAGATGTAGTAGATGTCTACTTGTTGACATAGAAATATGGTTATATTATAGTACCAGTGATGGGAAAACAGGCTATAAAACTGTATGTTCAAAAAAAATTTTGTTGACACATAGCAATTTATGGGGTTGAGAGTAATTTGGGGCATCTCTTGTCAAAACGGGGTAACATTGTGACATTTGTATATAATATATAATGATAAGGTCAAGGTAACTATATCACCTCCTACATTGATCATTTCTTTGTGTTTGAAACAGTCAACATCCTTTCTACTAGCTATTTTGATATAGTCAAATTGTGCTAACCATAGTTATCCTACTATGCTATTAGAAGTTATTCCTTGCATCCAACTGCACCTCGGTAAATTTTATTTTTTGATTCTATTAAAATATATCTCATATATAAAAATGTTTGTATACATAGAGAATATCTTTGAAAGGATATTCATAAAATGTATAGCATTGGTTGTCTCTGGGGAGTGGAACTGAGAACTGAGGGTGAAAAGTATTTCACTGTGCATTCTTTTGTGTACTTAAAATTAAGAATAAAAAATGTAATTGTAGAGGTGAAGGGAGGGCAGGGGAATGGGGAAAAAATAAGAACCAAGATACATCATGTAAAGGTATAAGATCCCAATGATGAATGCAACTGTATTGTATACCTAAAATGTACCAATAAACTAAATGGAAAAAAAATGTAATTGTATGTGCATGGATTCCTGCAGTGACCAGACTGAAGAACAACTTTGGATATACAAGGCCTTGTGTATTTTTAAAAGAAAACAATCTTTATTATGTATTTTGTAGTTTCCATTCTTGTCACTGAAATTATTCATTGGTTCTCAATGCATTTAAAAATGATCTAGGCCAGGGATTTAGCTCAGTGATTCTGCCGCCTGCCTTGCAAGTGGAAGGACCTGAGTTCGATCCCCGGTACCAAAAAAAAAAAAAAAAAAAAGAACTAGGACTGGAAATCCTACTTGACCCAGCTAGTCCCCTGCTGGGTATCTTCCCCAAAGAATTAAAAGAATCATACCACAGTGATACATGTGCACCCATGTTCATAGCAGCACAATTTGTAATAGCTAAAGCTTGGGAGCAGCCCAAGTGCCCATCAACTGGGGATGATAAAGAAAATGCGGTTTTTAAAAAGTAAAACGGAGTACTACTCAGCCATAAAAAATGAAAAATTAGAGACATTTATAGCTAAATGGATGCACATTGAGGCAATATTCTTAAGTGAAATAAATAGGACACATATGTGTAAATAGTAAATAGTTTCTCTAGTGTGAGAAACTGAAAGTGTAAATTAGGACTAAAAGGTATAATAGATAATGTGAAATAGGAAGAAAAGGGGCAAAGGGGAAGGGGAAGTGGGAGAGGTAGGGGAAAGGAAAGAAGGGAATGAAATTAATATGAGAAAATGAAAACATGGAAACAAAGTCTTTGTAAATAGGGAGGGATGGAGGGGTTGAAGGGAGGGCAGGGGAATGGGGAAAAAATAAGAACCAAGAGAGATTATGTAAAGGTGCAAATTTCCAATGATGAATGTCATTGTATTACATACCTAAAATGTACCAATAAAATAAAATTAAAAAATAAAAATGATCCAATTCCACAGACAAGGCCTGATCTATTTTTTTGTGTTCTAGCAAAACTTACTGAGTATACTTCACAGAGTACTAATGCTTCCTGGGAGGTAAGATGGAGGACTATGTGATTCTGTTTGATTCTATCTGTTCTCATTCCATGAGGTTCAACAATATACTTTCTGGGAACATAATGCTTCACGTGTACCCACATATCATTTCACTAATTCCTCACCACCTAAACCAAGAGCATTTCTGTCTAGACTAGTCTCTGAACCATGCAGTGATGGTCACACCAACCCCACTAAGCTCACATTCTTGTCTGTGGAAGGAAGTTTTCATTTTAAGGTAAGTTTACTTGCCATTACAGGTACTATAATATGCTAGTTTATATATTAGGCTTTGGTCTTAGAGAGATCCAGCTCTTGCTATGTCTTGCTCTCAGTGTTTCATGAGCAAGACACAATTGAGATTGTTTCCTTGTCCATAAAATGGGGATAACTCACATATTTATGCCTCATGGTAACTGTGGTTAAGTGAGGCAACAGATAAATGTCTACATACCTGATACTTCATATCAGCTATTATTTTCATTCTCATAACTTAATAAGCAACTATCCATTAAGGAAGTTCTTAATGCATCAGGCTGTACTTTGGGTAAGGGATACTTTGTGTGGGATCTGGAAGTTTTGTATCTGGAGGGTGTGATTTATTTATGTGAAATAATCGATGAGTTGGTGAGATATGTATAACAATGTTAAATTGTGTGGTAGTGATTAGAGTCCAGAGAATAAAGATATGTTAGGGAATACTGATAGAATCATACTGTTGGGAGGTGGATATTCCATTGACTTTAACAGATGGATTTAATTGAGTGTGCAAAAAGAGAGGGATTTCCAACTGGAGAAGAACAAGGGCAATGCACAGGCATGAAGATGAGTTTAGTGGACCAGAGCACTGGAGCCTGTCATCTCCACTTTATTCCTTGACATCTTTTTCTCCTGAAGTGAGCAGAGATTTCTTCCCCAACTTTCAGCATGATCTATAACGCTCTACGTTCAAAGAGCTTCTTTTTCCCTATCTGTGAGATGAAGGTGCTGATGGCCCTGGGTGGCTTTAGATTCGAACAGTCCACACTTGGTGACCAATCTTCTTAAGTTTTACTTACCGTAGATCATTAACAAAATGGACCCCACAAGCATAACAATAGCATGTAAAGCCTCAGTATAAATCACAGCTGCCAAACCACCTGAAGAGAAAGAGGAAGAGAAATGAAGGCCGCATCTAACTCTGTTGACAGTAACTTCTGAATCTGTATGCTTTTCTTTTCCCAGACCTCCCCATTCAGATTTTTGAGCCCTTTAAATCAGTAGGTCTTTTAACTGCTTGTACTTGGTTTTGGTATGTCCTATTTTCTCTCTTTAAGAGAGAGCTCTTTATGATCATTTGTGAGATTTTTATCTTGCCCTTCTTTGTCCCAATTTCCCTTTACTTTCTTTTTTTCAGGTGGATGAAAATCTGGGTAGTTTTCCTAAGCCAGAATGTACATCTTTCATCACAGAAGTTCAGTTTGGAAGTAATAGCAGCATCTCTGATTTCTACCTACTAGATAGTACCCTCTGTCCAATTGTGACAACCAAAAATGGCTACAAACATTACCAAATGTCCCCTGGGAAGATAAATCTAATTTCTCTTCCCACATATTGTGAATCATTGATTGAATACATTCTACTCCCCACTCTGATTTTCTCCACTTAGACTCTGGTGAACTGTTACAGACACACATCAGCATCCAAGATTTGCACTGCAGCTGGAAAAAAATTAATGATGACAACTCCCACTCTTAATAACTAGGTAAAGACTGCCTAGGACAGAGCTGCTTACATAAAAGATCCAAAGGCTTGGCCAGTGGCCTAAGGACCATGTCTCCCGTTCTCTTTCTGCACTCCCACTCTGTTACTTGGTGACCTGCAATGTTAGGCCCCACTTTGCACAAATACAATTGTTTCTGACCCTATTAAATCCCTCAGAGAGACTCAATCTGGTTTCTAATGCCTTCATTATTTGCCCTGTGATACAGACAGGGAAAATGCAAAAGCTGGAAACTTCTGCTTCAATGTCTATTAGGACTTCGGTAAGTAGAGAGTGTTTGGATCAGTATAAATTCCTGTATTGCTGAAGCAATCTCACCTGTGATGGTATAAATGCCAGCAATCACCAGCAGTAGCATTGTGACCTGGTAAACATCCATGTCCCAAGCAATTTTCACAAACATGGCACCATAGCAGACTTCTACCTGAAATGAGTATAAGGTCAAAAAGCTGCATCTTCATTTCCAGTAGAATCAAAAATTCTAGGAAAAAGGTGGTGGTGGGGAAGCATAGGAACCATATGCAAGAGGTGGTCTCTGGCTAGCATCCTATCACCTGTGGATGCCAGGTGAGGTCTACCCAAGTCTCATACTCCACAAATTCAGCCGAAGTCAGTCTTTTACGGCTTGAGTTAATCCAACTCACCCAGTTAACACAATTTCGCCTCTTTTACTTTGGACCCTTAGAATGGGGAATGTGTTGTTCTCTCAGGTCTGCCACTGGGAAAAAGCCAAGAGGACAGCTTCTCAGGGATCAGCAATCTTTCTGTCTGTAGGGCCAGGTGGTAAATATTGTGGGCACTGTAGGCCCTTGTCTCTGTTTTTTAACAACCTGTTACAGCTACAAAAAGCATTCTTAGCTCAAGGGTTGTACAAAGCAGATCATTTGCTGGCTTGGCCTGTGGACCAGATTTGCTGACCCCTGGCTTAGTTGACACCAATTCTGAAACATCTTCACATTTAACTGGCTAATCTAGTGCTTTGTTATTCTAGTCTCCAAAGCCAAGGATACAATGGGCAGATTCATCTATTCATTTATTCACCAAATGCTTACTGTGTGCCAACCATGTTGCAGACATTCAGCAGGCTTCAGAACACACAAGGGTTATCAAAACTTAGTCTCTGTCCTTAAGGAGCATATGTTGAGTGAAGGAAAGAGACTACTACATAGGAATATTCCATGTTGTGTAAAAATGCCATTCATTTAGTTATGCATAAAGAAAATCTATTAAGTGCCTTAAGAGTTAAACATGGTCTCAGCACAGGAGGTAATGCAATGGGCAAGTCAGGCCAGGCCTTGGACTCAGGAAGCTTGCAATGAGGCACAGAACAGATAATAACAAAGTACCCAAGGAAATTACTCTCACATGGTGATAAGCATTACAAGAAAAACAGAAATAGAGCCATGACCGACTAGACATATCCTCGGAAGGCTTCTCCAAGGAGATGATAATTCTCCTTAAAGGAATGATGAGGACTCAGCCACATAAAAAACTGGGAGTAGAATATTGCAGAGTGTAGAGCAAATGTCAGGGGCTTGAAGTGGGAATAAACTGGCTGTGTTTTAAAACCACTGGGGCAGGCAATATGAACAAAGGGGAGGAGATAAGGAGAATAGTACAGAGGGGCAGGCTGGGGCTAGCACAGGCCAGCCTTTATGGTCTTATTCAGGAATTAAAGTTTTCTTATAAGGAGGTAGAAACTCTTGAATTTTTTTTCTTTAGCACATTACTTAATGACATGAGATGGGTAATCCCGAAATTATCTGGGTATACCCAGGAGGGAATGATAACCTATGCTTGAGAGATCCGAAAACTGCCTCTGTTTTTTACTTTTTGCAAAGTATTAAACTTTTAATAGTAACATTAAATACTATTAAACTAACTTACACAACAGAGGTCAACAAGTGATTTACATAGCCCCATAGTAAACTGCTAGGATAATCTAGCACACTCCTGAGTTCTCTCTGTTGGGTTTTGGGTTTTGTTTTTTGTTTTTATTTTTTGAGGGGGTTCTCTTTCTTGGGCCAGCTTTTACAAAACTCACCAAGATCCTGGTGATCACATCAATGAGTATGGACAAAATAGAGGCGAGGAGCTGGATACGGACACTACCAAACCTCTTTCTCAAATATTCTGGCAGCGTCACCACCTGTACAAAGAAGAGAGGTCAGCATAAAATAGAGTGCAGAAAAAGCTGAGCACAGGGATGAGCCCACTCACAAGTGGTGGTTGTCACAGAGATGCTGCTGCTGATTGGAGTGGAGTAGGAATACGAGAGGTAGGGTCACTGCCTCTGGCACCAGTCAAGATGGGAAATATAAGGAAGAAGTAATACTGCTATCTACAAGAAGCTTAGAGTCCAGCCTCCTGTTCAATCTTAGGAATGCAGAAGGAAATCCAGCTAATTGAAGTGACAAATCCTGATGTCAAATGATGACCAATCACGTTTATAGAATAATCATAGAGACAAGGCAGTGCCTTGTATATATTGCAAAAATAGCCAGTGCTCAAGGGACATGGAAACTGACCCTATAGCTCCCCAACCTGTTGATCTGCCAAAACTACCAGTCTAGGTACTGGGGTCTCAGATGATCCTACTGTTTCTCCATCGCCTTGAGCTGTGCACACACCATGAGTCAGGGACTGTGCCATGCTCTCTGCGCTCACTTTGTTCCTCGGTCCTACAAAGTGCCTGGTTCATGGAAGGTGAATCAAACATTGTTAAACAAATATTGTCACTTCTCCCCTAACTATCCTCTTGTCCACCTACCTGGACATGTCTACTTTTAAGTTTTCATTCAAATTTCACCTGCTTGATGAAGACTTACCTGGGAGTGTGGCAGTGACCATATGTCCTTTTCTAAGCACCTGTAGCTTTAAAAAATTTCATCTTTTATTTGGCTCTCAATCAATCATATCATGCCAAATGTGGCTCACTTTTTCAGTGAGGTTCTAAGCTTCCCAAGCTGCTTTTATATCTATTGTTTGTATGAGTTTGCTAGGGATGCCATAACAAAGTAGGGTGCTTTGGGTGGTTTAAACAACAGACAACTTATTTCCTCATAGTTCTGGAGGCTAGAAGTTCAAGACATCAGCAGTGTTGGCTCCTACTGAGGGTTGTGAGGGATGGATTTGTTTGGGGCCTTGCTCCTGGGCTTGTCAATGAGTGTCTTCTCTGTTTCTTCACTCTGTACTGATCTGTGCCTAAATTTCCTCTTCTTATAAGGTCCTACTGGATTAGAGCCCACTCTAATGACCACATTCTAATGTCATTACTTTTGTAGACTATTTCAAAATAGGATCACATTCTGAGATAATTTTCCTGGGTTTATGGCATCAAAATAGCAAGTGCTATGTTTGGTGGCAATTTAGTCTTTCAAATTTTTAAAGTCCTCTATAAATTAAAAAATTTTTTTAAAGGTTTTGGGCATAATTTACTTAACAGAATTCCTTCATTCTGCAGGTATGGTTTGATGAACTTAGAAGAATGTACACAGTCCACAGTTGTGTAATCACCACCACATTCATGATAGCATTTCCAAGAAAGTTCCCAGAAAGCCCCTCAGGCTTTGCAGTCAAGGCCTTCACGCCACCTCTGATAGAGACAACCAGTGTCAGCTGTCACCAGTGTTAACTTTTCTAGGATTTCAAATGAATGGAACTGTACAAGATGAGTTTTTTTTTTTTATGTTTTACTTCTTTTAGTTGGCATGATGTTGAGATTCATCCATGTGGTTGCACAATTTCTCTTTCATGCTGAGTAGGATGCCATATTATAGGGTGTTTATTCATTCACCTACTGAAAGTTACATGATTTCTAAACCTAAATTGCATGAATAAAATTGCAACAAACCTTTGTGTACAAATCTGTATGTGGGCATATGTTTGTACACAAACAACAGCACCTGTCCATTTCTTCTGTGTTTTCCATCTTATTGGCGTATAGGTTCTTGAAGTAGGTATTGATGATCCTCTGGATTTCTGTTGGGTCTATTTAATTTCACCCTCTTCATTCCTAATTGCATGGATTTGGGTCTTGTCTTTCCTTTCTTTGGATAAGGTTGGCTAAGGGTTTGTCAATTTTGTTAATTCTTTAAAGAACCAACTCTTTGCTTCATTGATTTTTTGTATTGTTCTCTTAGTCTCCATTGCATTGATTTCTGCTCCGATCTTTATAATTTCCTCCCTTCTATGAGCTTTGGCTTTGTCCTTCTCTTCTTTTTCTAGAAGCTTGAGGTTCAGCATCAGGGTGTTTATTTGAGCTTGCTGTTTTCCTAATATGAGTATTCATTGGTATGAATTTTCCTAGTAACACTGCTTTCATTGTGTCCCATAGATTCGGACATGTTGTATTGACATTGTCATTTAATTGTAGAAACTGTCTGATTTCTTCTTTAATTTCCTCTGAGACCCACTAGTTATTCAGAAGTGTGTTGTTCAATTTGTATGTGTTTATGAAATTCTTGTGGTTTCTTTTGCTATTGATCTCCAATTTCATCACACTATGGTCCAATAATATACAGGGGATAACTCTGATTCCTTTGCACTTACTTAAACATGTTCTATGAGCAAGTATGTGGTCTATTTTGGAGAACGACCCATGTGCAGCTGAAAAGAATGTGTATTCTGATTTTGTGGGGTGGAACACTCTGTAAACATCTGTTAAGTTCATTTGTTCAAGAGTTTGATTGAGTTCTAGTATTTCATTGCTTATTTTCTGTCTAGTGGATCTGTCTATTTGTGACAGTGGAGTATTGAGGTCCCCCACTACTATTGTATTAGTGCTTATTTGATTTTTCATGTCTGTTAGTATTTATTTCATATAGTTGGGTGCCCTGGTATTTGATGCATATACATTTATGATTGTCATATTTTCCTCTTGGATTGTGCCCTTTACAAAGATACAATGTCCTTCTTTGTCTCTCTTAATCAATGTTGATTTGAAATCCATTTGATGTGCAAAGAGGATAGCTACTCCTGCTCTTTTTTGGGTTCCTGTCACATGGAGTATTGTTTTCTACTCTTTAACTTTCAGTCTATGTGTTTCTTTTTGAATTAAGTATGTTTCTTGTATGCAGCATATTGTTGGATCTTGCTTCTTGATACATTCTGCCAATCTATTTCTTTTGATTGATGAATTGAGACCATTAACATTGATGATTATAACTGATATGTATTGACTTATGCTTGTCATGACTTTTTTTTTTTTGGTACTGGGGATTGAACTTGGGTTCTTGCACGTGTGCAGCAGGCAGCAAAACCACTGAGCTAAATCCCCGGCCATGACTTTTTCTTATTGTTGGATTCTCCCCCTTTGCATTTAATTTCTTGTCATGCCTGATGGACTCATTCTGTTGGGCTTCCTGGGGTTGTGATCCTCATTGTGTTTTCCTAGGATATTGTTTAAAATTTTTTTTGAGTGCTGGTTTGGTGTTCATGAAGTTCCTCAGGTGCTCTATGTCATGAAAGTATCCTATTTCTCCATCAATTCTGAAAGATAGTTTTGCAGGGTACATCAGTCTGGGTTGGAGGCTGTTTTCCTTTAGGGCTTGAAATACATCACTCCAAGCTCTTCTTGCCTTGAGGGTTTGGGTCAAGAAGTCTGCTGCGATTCTGATGGGCTTCCCTTTGTATGTGATTTGTTTCTTTTTTCTAATGTCTTGTAGAATTTTTTTCTTCTGTTGGGTTACTGGAATCTTAACTATTATATGCCTAGGTGTAGATTTTTTTGATCAAGGCTAGTTGGAGTCCTATATGCCTCACTTATCTGTATGTCAAGTTCTTTTCCCCTGCTTGGGAAGTTTTCTGCCATTACTTCTGTGAAATTTTTTTTATGTTGTTTGCACCCTCTCCTGTTTCTTCATTGACTCTGATCAATCTTATGTTATTCTTCTTTGCATCGTCTAGCAGCTGCTGGATTGGTTTCTTGTGGTCCCTTACTATTTTTAAGAAATTTTTCTTTTTCTGGTCACTAATTGCAATCCTGTTTTCTATATCTGAAATTCTGTCCTCACATTGACTCATTCTTCTGTGTAAATTTTCAATGGAGTTTTTAATCTCCTGGATATCTGTTTGCATCTGTTTTATGGATTATATGTTTCCTATATTGGGATTCCATCATGTTCCTCAGCTCCTCTATTTTTTTAATCTGTGTCTGCTCTAGATTTATTAATCATGTCTTGCACCATGGCCACAATCTCTGTTATTATCTGAGAAATAATTTCTGATTTCATTTTTTCCAGATCCTTTTTCCCTTACCGGTTCAGGGAGTCCAGATGGTTGAGTAGCAGATTGTTCCATCTCATTTACCTTTGGAGTTGCCTTAGGTGATCTGGAAGTTTGGTTTTGAGACTTGTTTTTGTGTCTTCTCATTTCATCAGAGGCAGCCTGCTGAGCCTTTGTTGAGGCAACTTTTTGCTCACCCAGTGGTCTTCAATTCTCAGCAAGCCACTGAGTCACCTTTTCTCTGCTGCTCACCACTGTGCCAATTCCTGGGTTCAGAATGGTGGCCTTCTGGATCCCTGTTCTGCCCTGCTGTCTGGGTGGGGTTCTGCATGGGGCCTATGAACATTTGGGATGGTATCTGGGTGTGCCTCTGGCTGGGGCCTGCCTCCCTAGATAGCTCTTGCCTGGGAGGGTCTTTGGCTGGGGGCTGTGCACGCCAGTTGCTGGTGTCTGAGAGAGCTTCTGGCTGAGGTTTTAGGACTTACCAATGGTAACGGGGTGGGCCTCTGGCAGTTGCTTGTGTGCCTGTGCAGCTCTTTTCCAGGTGGGCCTTTGGCTGGGGGCCTATGGGCCCAAACTGCTGGGGTTGGGGCAAAGCCCTGGCTCTGGATATAAAATTCTTGGTTGACAGTTTTTTTCTCTCTCAGCATTTTGAAATGCTGTCATGCCAATGTTTACTGGTGTCTCTGTGTCTGTCTGTCTTTCTCTCTTTCTCTTTCTCTCTCACTGGGCCTGAAACCTAGTGCCTCAACATACTAAGTACTCTACCACTGAGCTATACTGTAAGGCCATGGCCTCCATTGTTTCTAATAGGAGTCAATGAACAAATGTGCTATTGTCTCTTTGCATGTAATGTGTTTTTTCTTACTGCTTTCAAGATTTTCTCTTTACTTGTACTTTCAGCAGTTTCATTACAATGTACCT